CGACAGACTTTGGATTAAGATAGTTTATTGAAATTGGCAGTAAGCCGCTTCGTTAGTTGACTGATTGTCACTACAGGTTGCCACTACCGTCACATTAGGGGTCTCACTTGACTGCGATTTCCGGATTGGAGATGATATATTGGGACTAATAATAGAACTGGATTTAGCAAAATTATCATATGCATCCAAGGAATAACAACCTGAAATAGATATTATATTTACTTATCTATCAATACTTCCTGCCTCGTTGGCCGAGTGGTCGCAAGTGCGACTGCCGGGCAAGAAGTCTCGAGTTCGATTCCCGAGTCAGGCAAAGTAGGGTAGTAGGGTTTCTTTAAAAAATCTCAGTAGTAGCACGGTGCCTGGAATTTTGCCCGGTATATGGCAATAAGGTTACTATTACATAGGACTCAAAAGAAGTACTAATAATCTAAATAGTGAAAAGTGGGTGTTACATTGTATAGTGGCTTTAAGTGCTGTAATGTGCACCTCTGCCTAACCTTTCGGGTAAAAAGCGTGATGTTATGTTATATTTAATAGTCATTCTGATGTAAACTTACAACAACATTTTCATCAAATCTTGGTCCAGTCCTTCCCCAACCAGAAACCAAAGCCGCTTCGTCTCCTTCAATGAAGTCGTAACACAAGGTGATGAGGGCCACTCTGTCGGTCAGTTGCACTGGCTCCTTCGTAACCAACACTGCAGCATCATACTTTATGTTTGTAGAGTCCCATTGTGGATGCATGTGGTAGCCCTTCAGGTTAACCATGGTGCCACCTGAGTTCCACTGATTGGAACCCACTCGAGAGTGTAAAGTGCTGCAAAGAGAAGTGTAATTTTATAAGCATATACTTGACTTACAGGTTTGTTAAAAAAATGTTGGCAAATATTTTTGCATCTTGCGTCTATAAAATCTTGCATCGTTTTGTAACTGGCTGGGTGTTCGTATAAAATAAAACCAAAACATAATAACAGCAAAACTGTGGAATGATCTGTCGTCCACAGTATTACAGAACCGATAAAACCTTCAAACCGTCAAGAAAAGAGCGTATTCCTTTTTAAAAGGCCGGCAACGCAACTGTGACTCCTGGCGGCGGCGCTGATCGCTTACCATCAGGTGATCCGTCGACTCGTTTGCCTCCTATTCCATAAAAAAACATTTATGCTGTTTTTGCTCTACGCTGTGTTTTAGCAGAAAAAGCTCTTCGTTTCGCAATAAATGTTAATGAGGTGACGATTGTAACGATGGTACGATAACATTATAGTTGTACGTAACCTGTACCCTGGAGAATTTTAATAGCAATTCACACATAATCGCATTCAGAACATTTAAATACCAAAAGGCGTATAATGAATACACAAAATTATAGGTGCTTACTCCAACAATCCACCTTCATCAGCTATGAAAGATTCGAGACAGTGTGCAGCAGTCAGCATCAGTCGCCTGCTGATGAGGGAAGCGCCACAGAGCTGGAACATGACTCGTTCACCAAAGACCAGGGCCACCATGTAAGGAGCTGAACCATCTGCAGCATCCTCTCCACCGATTATGAAAGGCTGGTGGTCTGAAGGAGGAAGGGGAACGCCTGGAAATTGAAGAGCTTGTTTAAAGACTGGTAATGAGCTGGATACGTGAATTATTTTCATGCTGACTGTTCCGAGATCTCATTGCCAGTTATCCCATGAATTAGGGGTCAACTTGTGTATTTATTGGAAGGAGTACTGCCATGCCACATCATATAACATTTAAACTACATAGAAGTATCAAATAATGGCCTGAAGCATGTCATAATAATGGAATACATAGCATTGGATTTAACACCAAACCAGTTTTAACCACGTTAACACGTTAAACGCCATGGGGGTCACCGGTGACCGACGTTAGCGGAGGGATTGCCTTCAACATTTTTTCATTGGCAGTCAAAGCTTTAATAATCTGAGCCTGCGACTTCGTTCGCGTAAAATAGTCATTCACACCTCCTCCCCCGTAGTTGATGGAATGATAATATGTAGCCTATATATTGACCCGACGTGTTACTCTTTTCAATCCATGCAGCACGTTTTGAGTTCATCCCGGACATACATACAGACCAACACAAAAATTCTAAAAACTATAACTATTTTTAGTTTTGGTATCAACTGTAGATGACGCCCAAAGCATTCTTTTTAAAATATATTCCATGTACAGTTTTTACTTTCTTACGATTTTATTATATGTGTAGATTAAAATCTACAGCTAGTCTATTTTGTATTAGATTAAAATCTTATGGCTACTAGCAGATAAATCTGCTGCTTACCAGAAACAAAAGCCGTTATAACTCCAAATAAAAAAAGAAAAACTGTTAGAGATTCCATTTTTTAAATATAAGCTAATCACTTTAATTAAACACTTCAGAACAAGTAATGAGAAACCGAAAAAATAATTGCTATTTATACAAAATATCCTTTTTAAATTGTAACCGATAATAGTTTTTGACAGATTAATTTATTGAACTTTTTTGCCAGACTATTGTCCTTGACATTCGAAATAATTGCGATCTTTAATTAGTAGGAGTAATTAGTACAAGTAGATAATGTAATTTAGTATCGAAACAATAATTTGTAGGTTTGTAGTTTATTGCACTTTACTTAACCTTGGTGATAAAGGTGATATTTCGGAAAATAAACAAACAATGGTAGACTGATAACAATTATTATGTCTCGGCCATTATGTGTTGGTAGTGTGTGTAATCTTATACTATTATATAAAGCGGAAGAAGCGGAGAATTTTTTTTTTGTATGTTTGTTTGTACGCGCTAATCTCCGTAACTACAAGTCTGATTTCAATAATTATTTTTGTTTTGGATAGCACATTTATCGAGGATAGCTATAAAACATCACGCTACGACCAAAAGGGGCTGAGCAGAGCGAGTGAAACCGCGCGGAAGTAGCTATTTATAGATAACTAGCTGACCCGGCAAACTTCGTACAGCGTAAAAAATATATTTCTCACCTTTTAAACCTTCCCTGGACTTCCATGAACATTTCAAGACCAAAATTTGCCAAATCGGTCCAGCCGTTCTCAAGTTTTAGCGAGACTAACGAACGGCAATTAATTTTTATTTATATAGATAGAAGATAGATAGATTATAGAGGTAGAATCCTGAATTTAGTAATATCATGAATCTTGAATTCAGTAATTTCGGTATTTACCTAATATTATCACGAATTTTCAAGTTAGTCTTTATGGGGTTTTTATAGTGCCTATGGTCTTTTTAAGTACAGCATAGTCCGATAAAACATAACTACATAGCGACAAGCAAGGGTCCCGTCTCCGTACCACAAAAGTGTCTACGTATTGCCATCCCTCTTGATAATTAGATTGCTATGTCGTTATTTAAGGGATAAGGAGCAAATAACCTGAAGCATGACCTGTTAATGTCGTGGCCTGGAGGTTTAAGACTTCTTCCGCTTCTCATGTATGAGGGGGGGGGGGGGGGGTTCGAAACCTACCAACGGTAAGTACCAATGTGACTTTTTCCGAGTTATATGTACTTTCTAAGATTATTTAGACACCACTGACAAACGATGAAGGAAAATATCGTGACGAAACCTAGGCTTATAATTTCTAATTATAAGTTTGTAATCACCATCCCGCATTGAGCAAGCGTGGTGATTAGTGCTCAAACCTTCTCCGTGTGAGAAGAGGCTTTGCTCAGCCGTGGGCATTTATAGGCTGATGATGATGATGACCTGTTAATAATAAGTGATCAGTCCCTTCCAAGTACACTTACATAAATTGGGTTGTTACATACATACATAACTTTACGCCTGTCTCCCATGGGGGTAGGCAGAGACTAAGGAACGCCAATTACTACGATTCTTACATACCTCTTTCGCTTCATTAACAGTCATCAATCTTTTCATGCATGCTCGTCGGTTAAGGGTACTTTTAATTTGGCCCTTCTTTAATATATCGCCAATCTGGTCACTATATGTCCGTCTAGGGCGCCCTCTACCGACGGCCCCATTTATGGATTGTTACATGTGCGCTTTAAAACGGGATGGGGTGCAGATATGTAATAAAGATATCATATTCTTATTTAAACTAGTCATTCAGACAGCCACAGCACTTATCTCCGTTCAATGCACCTTTCTTTTTCCTTAACCTTGATATTATGATAATTTCGTACGATTTTATAAAACAAATTGTAGTAGACAGGTAATAATGAATAAGCTATATCGTTATAATCAGTAGGTCAATCACCGGAATGATAATGACCACTGACTATTATTGTAATAGCCAGGGGCTTCTCGCGCGCTGCCTATGTATCATTCCAGACCATAATCTTCTACAGTTACAAATTTCATTCCGATCCCTACAGACGTTTTGACATGAAGAGTCAACAAACATTTAAACATTCGCATTTATACTATTTATATTACCTCTATATAAGTAGCATTGGTACGTAATTTTCTGAAGGGAAGAGAAGGGAAAGCCTCTACACTTATAGGACAACCGAATTTCTTCATTCTTCTTCAGACTCCGTACCAGACCGGGCACATTTTCAGACTCCGTACTGCTATTGAGATTTTTAAAAACCCAGTAATACTTTGCCCGACCCGGGAATCGAAACCGAGACCTCTTGCCCGGCAGTCGCACTTGCGACCACTCGGCTCACGAGGCAGTCTTTTTATTAGTTTCCTTTAAATCGACATTCAAGCTATTGTTTAATTTAGCGGTGTAAAATTTACCTTCATTTTCGACTTCAACACAGTAAGTGGATCCCACTGGTGATGATGACGATGACATCTGTAAACCTATAGAAGTATAGGTCTATTTGCCACGGTGTTAGGGTTAATCTAATTAATCTAGATTATCTACAAAACAAACTGTCGGCTACATCGTAACGGTCGAGGGTTCGATCCCCGCACGAAATAATAATTTCGATGATCCTATGTGAATTCGTATGTTGTTTGTGCAATACATAGGAGCCAAATTAGTATCAATATCAGGATTATGTCTTTCTCCTGCCACCGTCAGCACGGGCCTGCGGACGTCAAGTCAAAGACGGGTGAGTCGCCGCCCGACCAGAACCAGGCCCGAGCGTACGGCGCGTCGCGTTCCGCACGCGCCTCATAGAGCCATCAGACCACCACGGATGGGGGCCAATAGGACTGATGCCGATACGGAGCCGCGGAGGATTTAACAGGTTGCCGGGGCTCCTGATCGAAGTGCAGGGGTAGGAACGGGGTGGTTTTAAGTCAGTAAGAGTCTAATACTCCCTCTCGCGTCACCCGGCGGAAGAAGTCAATGGATGATTCCCCCTCCTCAAAAGGATTACTTCTTAAAAAAGACAATACAGTGTGATACAAAATATACAGATTACCTATTATTATATGCACTATGCAGTATTAAAATTGCATATGTAAGTTGCAAATGCTTTTATTATATATTGGTCATAAATAGTTTATCTGGCCTGCCTGAAGTGAGTCTGACTACAAAGTCAATCAAAGTGTTGTTTTCTACAATATTTATTAATCAGTCAAATGTCTAGTAAAGGATTTAAGAGTAATAAATATTTTCTAGTATAAATAATATTATTTTTACCAATTTTGTATCATACACAGTTGCAACTGTGAGCAGCTAATACTTCCCTATTTTGAAATCCTTAAAAAGTTTCCTAAAAATGCATTACAAATTTATCATTGTTATTTGTGTTTGTGTACGCTTCAGTGCGGATGGTAAGTAAATCTTAAGATTTTATCTACGCCCCGGGTCCTGAACTTTGAGCATCAATAACGCCCTAGTGCTTAAAAAGTCACGTTCCCTTCAACCATCTAATCATCACAGATCCAGTGCTCAGATTTAAGTGTGAATACTACTTCGGCATGAATGGGCCGGCTCGACCGGAGTGATACCACGGCCTCACAGATGACCGACGTGAAACAACGTTGTGTTGTGTTTCGTCGTGTGAGCGAGATCACCGGAGGCCCAATTATCTACCCCCCCCCCCTTTCCCCAATCCCTGAATCCCCAACAATCCTCAAATTCCTAATCCCAAAAGACCGGTAAAGCATTTGTAACGCCTCTGGTGTTCCAGGTGTCCATGGGCGACGCCGATTGCTTACGATCAGCTGATCCGTCTGCTCATTTCGGCATATCCCATAAAAAATCAAATAATAAACAAAACCTTTTCTGTTCCAAACGGCACAGTTTAAACTTTATTGCAAAACCATAAGCTTCAAATTGAAATTCTATCATATACCATTACTCAAACAACTTGTTTCTTGCAGGTATACCTTTAGAGACATCTATAGAGGATTTAAAAAGTTATTTTAGTCCTCGTGTCATAGGGGGTGAGAATACCCCTGAAGGGTACGCCCCCCATATGGTAGCTATACTGGTTGGAGATGAAGTTATTAGACTAATACTCTGTGGGGGTTCCCTAGTGAAGTCTAATCTGGTAATGACTGCAGCCCACTGCCTTACAGATTTTCATGTAGCGGGAGGCCTAACGCAGTGAGTAAAGACACTATGAAGTTAAAAATATACATTTTAAGTAAAACCCAAATCCGGTTAACTTTACACTTAAAAGCAACAATGTTAAAGTAGAGTAAGATTTTATCATCCTTGACTATACGCAAACAACAACAGGGTGTCGGTGCCATAACATCATAACATCACGCCTTTTGTCTTCGAAGGAGTAGGCAGAGGTGCACCTTACGGTACTCAATGCCAATGTACAAGCTGGTATATTGCTTAGAAATTTTGAAAAGGGAGACAAACCATTGGGGAGTACTTTTTCGACACGGGAATCGCACTCGAGCTTCCCTAAATCCCTATTCAGCAAGATTGTTTAAATATCGTACTGTATTATCTACTCATCGTTTCCATTTTCCAGTTTATTCCACGCAGTAGTAGGATCAAACAACTGGAATACAGGAGGCATAAGAGTTGAGTTCCAGAACTACCATATGCACCCAGAATGGGACCCTGTCCTCATTAAGAACGACATTGGTTTCCTGTGCCTCACAAAGAAGGTGGAATTGAGTAAACATTTGCAACTAGCTGTCCTGAACTTTGATTTTGTGGGAGTAGAAGCAAGTTCTGTGACAGGATGGGGATGGGTGGCGGTGAGTTTAGAAGTTTTCTTATTCAGTCATTTTTCAAATACTGTTTAGGATGGCACGTGAATATAAGTACTGAAGTATGGTTCAGAAACCATACGTTACCTCTCAGGGCAATTGGTCTTGATGCCCTAGATAACTACTTCTACATAATCATCTTAATCATCTCTTGCTTGTAGCAGTCAGACCCAATAAATAGGAGTGTTACCTGTAGTTACTGACAAATTCATAACATCACGCCATTTCTAT